AGATATGAGCTGTGAAAGTTAAGGCATTAATTTTTTTTCAAATGTAGATCTGCTTGATTTCTATTGACGGCAGCCCAATTAATAACGATAATTAAATTGCATGAATCAACACGCAACCAGAAATACGCAATAGATAAGCCACCGACCCTGATCGATATACTAGGAAATGCGCAGTTTTACCTAAGTATTTCAGTATACAAAGACTTTTGGCAGGCATCTTTATGATAATATAATGCTAAGTCCTTGTAAATGATGAGTTACATTTTTAAATGAATATATCGATGTGAATGAAATAGCCCAGTGTTGACCAGTGTTGATATTTGACAAAAAATCATTCAGGGCAGCCGTCACTTATGACGCAGCCGAATAAAATTACACAAAATTCTACTAGCGAACCACAGATGCCCTTTATTTAAAATCTTCTAGACCAATTTTTTACTATGAAACAGGCCAATTTTTTTTTTTTGTGAATTCGCCAAATTAGAACTTTGAAGATCATCGGCCTAAATTAGGTTAATGTAGGCCAACTAACATAAAATATGTCACTGCAAAAGCGATGACCACCCTAGATAATTCATGGACTAATCCAAATAGTGTCCATGTCTCTGTTTTATAATGTTCATTATTCAAAAAAAAAAACTTTTTTAAAAAAATATTGATGGCAATTTATATATTTCTCCAATATTTTGCACGACGTAGAGGTGAACATTTTACGCCTTTCTAAAAAATAAATCGGAATTCGAAATAGTACTCTAGTCTTTCTCTCGATCTGCTTGTGTTTTATATTCGATGGTTCTATTCTGAATATTTTTACGCGTTCGATCATAACCAGAACAATATGGACATAGTCCATAAATCCCATGTTCATTGGTCCATATTGTCCATGTTCATATTCTACCAACACCGGAAATAGCTATCTAAATTTATTTGATTTATACATACTGGTAATTGGTCAGCGAAACATTTACAAATAAGCTTGATAAATCTCTAAAAAATATTATTATTCAGATCTTTTTATACTAATTTATGGTATGATAGTAATCGTACGAAATTAAATATTATTATTATTAGTGGCGAAGTAATTGTTAGTAAATTGGTTGTCAGTGAGCAAAGCATGTCGATAGACACGTATTCTTATTTTATTATTTTAATGTATACGAAAACTTTTCTATAATCTATGGTAATAAAGGTCTAAAGATCACCATATTGTCTATGTTTAAAAATACTCTTGTTGTAAATAAAATATGACAAATAAAAAAAATAATTTTTTTTCTAAACTATTCGTTCATAGAGAATCAAAATATATGAAAAAGTTCAAGTTATTTCTTTTTACATTCATCACATTTACTTTCACAATCATCACTTTCACATTTATATTCTTTGCCATGGTCACAGTCATCAGACTCACATTTATATTCTTTGCCATGGTCACAGTCATCAGACTCACATTTATATTCTTTGTCATGGTCACAGTCATCAGAGTCACATTTAACATCACCATGGACATGCAACTCACTATGAGAGCTGGAACTAGCGCTAGATTTATGTTCTTCAGAATATTCATAAGTCTTGTGCGTAGGTTTAACATTTACGCTATATATACCGTGTTTTGGGGTTTTAATCTTTAAAAATTTAACTGGTTTTTTCAAACTTAAACCTTCACATTCTTCTAAATTAATCACCACCTTTTTTTTATGATATTTAATGGCTGGTTTAGGAATCACATATTTGCCGATGTAGAATATACAATCCACGGGTACCTCAAAATCACATGGGATTTCCACATATTTATTCATATAAAAAGAACCATCCGTGCAGATGCTGCGTTTGAGAAGTTGGGGAGAATTATTGTCAGGCAGAGGATTTGCTTGTCCAGAGAGTACGAAGCCAATAGAAATAATGCTCAAGGCGATGAAGACGAATGATTTGGTGAGCATGATGAAGATTAAGAATTTGAATGTAGAAAGAAATGATTTTCTTTTTTTTTTATCAAGTTTGACTTCGATACGAATAATAATGTTGGATGGAAATGAAGCTCTTTTATAAATTTTTCGAACATATCGAAATAATTTAAAGAATTCTTGGCATTTGCTTTTGTCCTCAAAATAGTTTCTGGCAATTAATTACCTCTACATTTCGTAAATGTGTATTATGCAGGTGGTAATTTATCAGGAGTTAATTTTGCCTTTGTTGCTCTATAATTTCGAGTTCATTCAATAGACTTTTTATTTAACACGGTGAAATTCCCAAATTTAGACTTACGCATACAATTGTCGCTTATATTATTATATAATACGTATAATGTTCTGCGATTACATATATAGCAATAGCAGCAAGGATAATTAATTTATTAATTGGAACGTACCCTATGAAAAAATATTTTCGGAAAAACATGGAAGCTGAGCACGGAAACATACGTAAAAATATGTAAAAAATACGTAAAATGTACACTTTCCGTGTTTTTGGATAGGAAAACACTTTATTTTCCGTGTTTTCTAAAACCCGGAATGGCATTTTCCGTGTTTCAAAATACGGTGTGTTTTCCTGTTCAAAAACACGGAAAGTGTACATTTACGTATTTTATACATGTTTTTACGTGTTCAGCTTCCATGTTTTTCCGAAAATATTTTTTCATAGGGGTACTGTACGCAGTGTTGAAAATTCGAATTTTCAATACTGACTGTACGGACGTATGGCGTATGTACAGTACGTACGTACCAGAAATTCCAATTAATCATTAATTGTTTGAAGGATGTTGAGGAAATGTCCTGATCTTAAAGTGGATTAGTGAAAAATTTTTACCCACCTCGGATTTAAATTAATTGGTTAAAAAGACAAAATATACAGTATATTACATGCAATGACTTCAAATTTTGAAGCATCAAGAAATTGGGAGCTTCCAGATATTAGGTAGATATAGTCCCCAGAGTCAGTCGTTTGACACAATAGTTTGACAATTACAAATTTGATTACTTTAGAACTTGTAATTGTCAAACGATTGATTATTTTAGAACTTGTGATTGTCAAATGATTGTGTCAAACGACTGACTCTAGGGGATTATATTTACATAATAGGTGGAAGTTCCCTTTAAGAATATTTGAAACAATGTAAATTAACGCAGCAAATGCAATAATAGAATATTTAAGTACCGTACAGGGTTGGACTAAAAGACCCCTTTTATAATACCCTCACAACTTTTAGAGACCTAAAATATATATTAAAAAAGCAGAGGTCTTTTTCGATTTTTAACAGCTGCCCTACATTGTTTGGTGCGTCAGGAGTAACCCGAGTTTGCATAAGGAGAGCATCTTCCTGCATTGCCAATACAATGTAAAGATTCTAATTATATAATATAATTGGAAATTTACTTTGTATTCGATACGCAGGAAGATGCTCTCTTTATGCAAGCCCGATTTATACTTGACATACCCCCGACGCACTTTCGACGCATCGAACAAGGTAGGGCAGCTGTTAAAAATCGAAAAAGACCTCTGCTTATATTAAATTGATAGTTATAATTAAAAGTCCAATGACAGGTTTTCTCTTGGCGACAATTATATAGTGCAACCTATATCTCCTACATTAACTATAGTATTTCTCTGATTATAATACCTATATATGTAGATATACCGGGTTGGTGAAAAGTAATTGAACAGTGGCCTTTTTTTTAATCACTATGATTATCATTTTAACGTTTAGTACGTAATTGCAATAAATTAAAAATTATTACAATTTTTAATTTAGAATTATTATAAAACGCACCTATGGTGTTTTAGCACCTATGTATAATTTCTTTTAATAAAATTTAGGGTTAGG